CCCCAAAACCCCAAAACCCCAAAACCCCAAAACCCCAAAACCCCAAAACCCCAAAACCCCAAAACCCCAAGTTAAATGATTTTCATTGAATCTTCTGATAGAATTTGGATATTTTAGTTTTTACGATTTAGCGAGTGACACCAATATTGGGATAAATATGCAAATACCTAAAACTACCATCCCTGATAAATCAAGCAAAGTAAAATGGTAGTGAAATAATAATACATCCAATACAACTGTTACTCCATTCTCCAGGTTGATCCTTGGTGAAAATACTGATGCTTTTATGTAAAATGTTGCCACGAACATGAACAGAAAGAATAACGCGCACAACAATCCATGACCTATATTAATGCATTAAGTTTCTTTTGAGGGTAAAATCCAACCTTCCAATTCAATAAATATGTAACAAAATTGGATGGTTTTTGAGATCACTTACTGGCATTCATAAATAAATCGAACCACGAGTATTTCTCAAAGTGTATAACTTTTTCTATAAATATGGTTGTTAGGAATGGCTGGACTATAAATCCAACTCCTAAGCTAACTCCAACGACTGATGAGTGCACATTCAGCAAGTTCAGTTTCCTGTAGATCACGGCGACAGCACCACCAGCCCAGATACATATGATTGCAGCAAAGTATCCTTCGAAGCTTTCTTCTTTGTTGTCGTCTTGAGTGCTTAGAGTAAGAATGTACACTCCAAGGCTCCCACCGATGAGGCAAAGTGAGTCAACAATGGTGAATCGTTCTCTGAGAGTGATGAAAGCAATGACGGCACAAGCAGTTGGTCTCAGACTCAGCATAAATATTGTCTTTGATAACGGCAATCTGTCTAAGGCATACATTGAAGAGCAGTTGTTCAGACTTGAGAGTAAGGTCAGCACTACAAGAAGCCAAACTTCAGTTCTAGAATAATGTAGAACTTGTCTGAATGATTTTGTAATAACTCATAGAATTATGCCAACAATGAATAAGAACACTCCCATGAACAGAAGAAGCTCATGAACAGTCAGGTAGGGGCTCCATAAATTCATCAGCTTGACTTGGACGTGAACAATGGTGATTAGAGCTACACAAAGGATGGAAAGTATCAGGCCAACCACTTCGTTATTTACTCTCTTTTGTTGATGATCTTCTTCGTACTCTAGCGTTCTAGAAACTGAACTTATTTCCTCTCTTAAAAACTTTTGAGCAATTTTAGCTCCACTTTCCGAGTCAAAATACCTCTTAGCTTCACTCATCAAAGTACTTTTGGAGCAATCTCTAGTGGGAGGAGTAGATGTGAGAGCTTCAAGATTCACAAAATTCTTAGATGTTAACAGTTTTTTATTTGAAAAGGTGTGCATTTATATTCTAAAATAGACTTAATATATCGTTATATACTGGGGTTTTGGGGTTTTGGGGTTTTGGGGTTTTGGG